CCAAAAACTTTCCAGCCTCTCTTCCAAGGTCCTTTTGAAGCTCTCAGTGCCACGATATGGCTCCTTCCCTCTGTGGGAAAGATCCCCCAGGTTTTCTGTCCCTTTGGAGCAGCTGCAGTGCCCAGGCCCAGCTGCCCTCCCTGGGGACGAGCAGGGTCCTGGAAGGTGTCCCCTGCCCCTGGGTGTGATGCTCCCACTGCTGCCCCGTGTCCTGGCAGGAGGCAGAGCCCTGATCCTGCTTTTCTCTCTCTGCCCAGGGTGGGTGTGATGTGCCAGGATGTGATCCAAGTTTTCCTCTTCTAGCAGGGGTCAACTCCAGGCTGGAGCTGGGGCTGGCAAGGAGGGAACAGCGAGCCCTTAAAATCCCCATCTTGACCCAAATTTGGGGAAAAGCTCCCTCTGGGGGGCAGGGAGGCTTGGGAATGGCAGGGCCAGGATCAGCTGGGAGGGGTTGGCAGCTCCCTGTGCCCAGAGTGTGCCCAGGGCTGGGCTTTGGGCTTTGGCCACCCTCAATTCCCCTTTCCTCCTCCTCCTCCTCCTCCTCCATCATTTCCAGCCTCTCAGGCTCATGGACAGGGAGCACCCCAAGGGCAGAAGCTCTGCAGGGATGCAGCAGAGGGGGAGATGGGATCCAGCTCCTCCATTCCCTCATTCCCACAGCACCCAGTCCGAGCCACCCACCTGGACGTGGCCAGGATGGGAATTTTGGGGTGGAATCCCCCCTCTTTTGGCACTGAGAGCTCCCCACACGCTGCAGCACCACAGCCACAGATTCCTGACATATTTTTCTCTTTCCTTTGCAGCCAAGAAATCCATTTTTCATGGGAGGTGAAAGTGAGAGCCGGCAGTAGCTGAGCACGGAGGGTGCCAAGGTAGGGGCCAGCTGACAGCACGGGCTCAGAGGCTATTTTTGGGAGCCAAACTCTCCTCCCCAGCCCAGATGGGCTCTGGGAATGCCTCTGGCTGCTGGGACACTCAGGGACCTTCTCTGGCCCTGCAGCTGCCCAGTGGCAAGAGGGAAGGAGCTTAAGGGACTGGAGAAGGGGCCCGTTCAGAAGGGAAGGGATTTTTCCCAGCTCCAGGCAAAGCCATGCTGGGTGGGATGGATCCATCTGGGTGGGATTTCGATCCTTTAGGCAGGGGTTAAAAGCCTCTTTTTGGGGACAAAGTGTGTTCAGAGTCACCACATGAAGCCACTGAAAGCCCACAGAGCCAGGGGGTTCCGTGTGGGATCTCCTCATGGAATCCCAGGATTGTTTGGGTTGGGAGGGACCTTAAAACTCTTCCATGGGCAGGGACACCTTCCCCTATCCCAGGCTGCTCCAAGCCCTGCCCAGCCTGGCCTTGGGCACTGCCAGGGATCCAGGGGCAGCCACAGCTGCTCTGGCACCTGTGCCAGGCTTGCCCACCCTCCCAGCCAGGAATTCCTTCCCAAAATCCCACCCAGCCCTGCCCTCTGGCAGTGGGAGCCATTCCCTGTGTGCTGTCCCTCCATCCCTTGTCCCCAGCTCTCCTGGAGCCCCTTGAGGCCCTGGAATGTGCCCCCACCCCTCCCAGCAGCACAGCGAAGGGCAGTGCCCTGGCAGCTGCCACCCAGCTGGCACCCTGAGATTTTCCAGCCACCCACTCCCACGCCTGTCCCTGATCCCTGAGCTGAGCTGCCACACTCCTGGCTGTGACAACAGCAGCTCCATGAAATCATGGAATATCCTGAGCTGGGAGGGACTCACAGGGATCATCGATCCAACCCCTGGCCCTGCCCAGACACCCCAACAACCCCACCCTGGGCATCCCTGGCAGTGCTGTCCAAACTCTCCTGGAGCTCTGGCAGCCTCAGGGCAGTGCCAGCACCTCTGGGGGAAGAACCTTCCCCTGATATCCACCCTAAACCTGCCCTGGCACAGCTCCAGCCACTCCCTGGGTGCTGTCCCTGTCCCAGGGACAGGTTTGTTCCCCTTGGAGCCCCTGAGCTCACCTGGACAGAACCTCCAGCAGAGCCCCCCCTCTCCCCGAGCCCTGCAGGTGTGCCAACCCCAGCAGGGCTGCCCTGGGCACCGGCCAGAGGCAGAGCAGGAACAGTCCCTGCCCGCCTAATCAGCTCGGGCGATAGAGGAGCGATAGATAAGCGGGGGGAGAGCGTTATCGGGCTGATTTCCAGATGGAGCTGAGTCACCGCGAGTAACCGACCCGCCAAGGTCAGCCAGGGGAGAGAGAGGCTGAGCCCGGCTCTGAGCCCGGCTCTGAGCCCGGCTCTGCCCATCCCTGTGCCTGCCATGCCAAGGGGTCACTCATTCCCCCTGCCACAGCCGGGGCTGCCCTTTCCTTGTGGGATTTTGGCTTTTTCCTGCCCACACAACCGTTCTGGGGGGGTTTACTCTGGGGACATCCTTCCCCTGGCGCTGCTCTGCCCTCCCCACGGTGTGGTCCCTGCAGGACATCCCGCATCAGCCACGGGTGGGATCTCAGCTTTTCTGCCGTGGGAAGGAGATGGGGGTGCTGTGGTCCCCCTGGTGCGGGGGGATTGGGAAGCTCTGGGGTGCTCGGGGACCCTCAGCTCAGCCCTACCCCGCAGGCACCCGGAGGTGAATCACAAAATCACAAAATCTGGCACGCTGGGACCTGCCCCGCCAAGAGAGTGCCAGGCGTGGCTCTCCGTGACAGCCAGGCTGCTGCCACCGCTGCTGGCCGTGTCCCCTGTCCCCAAGGGGCTGCAGGAGAGGGAGGATGCTCCAAGCCCCCTGCAGGATGCAGCAATGCAGGTGGGGATGGCTCTGCCCGCAGCAATAATCGCAGTGGGTTTTTTAAAAAGCCAAACTCCCTTTGCCTCTGTTCCATCCCTTTCCACCTCCTCTTCCAGGAGCTGAAATGCCAAAATCCAAGGAGTGATGCCAGTGCTAACCCATGGAGGAGCCTGGTACTGAGGGCACCTCCCAATTTTCCTTTTTTCCCTGGATTCCCCATCCCACGGGGGGTGAACCGTGCCCGTGGCAGGCCCGTGACCCCTCGGGGGATGGATGCAGGAGCTGCCTGGGCATTATCGATTTAAATCAATATACCCAGCCCTCCTTATCGATTGCCCCATCGGAGCCACAGCCAGCAGGAGGGACCCCCAGGCAGGGAGAGAGGACCCCCAAGTCCTGGCAGGGAGATTTTGGCCAACAAATCCCTAATTGACACCTCACCCTTGTAGCTGTGCCACCATCCGTGATTTGCGTGGGGTAAATCCTAAATCCGCACCCATTTCCTGCCCACCTCTGCCACCGCCAGCAGGACGTGGGTGCCACCAGCAGTGGCACAGTCCTGCGTGCCACCAGCCCTGCTGTTCCCATCCCCAAACCTCTGCCAGCACAGGGAGCAGGATGTTTGTGTCTCCTGGCACCCCTTCAACCTTTGCCGTGCAAATCCTGCGGCTCTCCAGCCGCACCGACCAGCCTTTCCCTCGCAAAAACAACAAAAAAAAAAGAAAAAAAAAAAAAAAAGGCTCCTTTATGTGGCTGAAAAGCCCGACTGTGATAATGTAGCGAGCGCTGGCCTTGGGTATTTTATCTTGGCAAGGAGCCTTTGCAAATTTAAACAGCAGCGAGCGGGCTCTGGAGTTGTGGCTGGCTGAGGCATAAGTGGGGCATTGTTTTCCCAGCAGAGCCCTTTGTGCCAAAGGGCCGCGTGTGAGCTTTGGCCGACGCTCGGCTCCCACCCTATCGGCCCCGGATCCCTTTCACTCGGCAGGGTGTGAAATTGGGGAGGAATTCAGGCCTGGCAGCTCCCACCGGCCAGGGCAGCGCTGCTGCATCCCTGCAGCAGCTGGGGGGATGCAGCCGCCCCTCTCGGGTTTCTAGTTTATTTATTTTTAAATTAATAATATATCATAAATTATAATATATTATCAATGATAATATATTGTTATATTAATAACAATATCCCGAATATTGTTATTAATGCAGCGTTTGGGGTGCTGGGTGCTCATCCCGACAGATTCCAGGTGGGAATGGAGAGGTGGGGTCCTGGAGAGATGCAGGGTGCTGCCCTTTTCCTTGGAAAATCTTCTGTGCTCAGGTCACTCCAGGGCAGGATGGGCGAACCCAGTGGGGTTGGGATCTGTGGGAATTCCATCCAGAAGGAGAGGAATAAACTGAATTTCCTGCTCCTCACCCCCTGCCAGCAGTGCTGTGCCTTGACCCACTGCAGCAGACGGTAAAGAAACATTTCCAGCGAGGCAGGAGGAAAAAACCCTCACTGTTTCCAGCAGACTTCTCTTTAAAAACAACAACAACAAAAAAAAAGACTCTTTAAAGCAAAACTTTACCCTTCTTTTTGTTAAAACCTCCTTCATATAAAATCCTGGTGGCGCCTTTTAAAAGGCTGCGCTTGGCTTGTGCTCCGTATCCAACGCCCCGAGGTCTGGGTTGTAAAATCAGCTGGGAAATTCGGGACTCAGCTTTTCTGCTTTTACCTCCTTAATAACATCTAAAATTTCCAGGGCAGTTCGCAGGGAGGGTGGTGAAGTCCTTTCTCCAGGGATTTCAGAGCGATGAGGGGCAGCTCCAGGGGGACAAAAACCTTTCCCTTCATCTTCCCTCCATCAGCGGGGACCTGGGGACACGGAGCAGGAGGACACGGGCACACGGGGACACGGGCACTCGGGGACACGGGGACAGCGAGCCCTTCCCAGGGTTGCCTCTCCCAGCCCATCCCGCCAGCCCTTCCCACTAATCCGTAGGTGGAGCTCTTCTGTCATCTTTTTCTGCTTATGTTGCTAAGAAGTAACCCAGAAATAGCTTTCCCAGGAGGTAAAAAAGTGCTTCCTCAGCAGCTTTTGCCGGAGGTTGAACTGCTCTGAGCATCCTTTGAAGGGCCCGAAGCTGCCGGGCTTCACCCCGGGGGACGGGGGGGTTGCGATGCCCCTTCCTCCAACCTCAGCCCAAGAAAAGGGGCCAAAATCTTCCCTGACTGACCCCCAGCCTTCCCCTCTTCTCTCCTGTTGGCTGCAGGTGTGAAGGATGCGGCAGAGCCCCGCCGGCCCTCGGGACCCGCCCGCAGCCCGGCCCCGGGGCGCTGCTGCCCCTCTGCCCGCAGCGGTGCCCATGGGCGCAGGACCATGCCCGTGAGCGGGGCACGGATCGCAGCGGGACGGGACAGCGGGGCTCTGTAGCCTTGTCCCCACCTCGGTATCATGACTGGAGAGACCCAGCATGTTTACACCATCGGCGATACTGAGGCCGGCCCCAAAGAGCCCGACAAGGCCTTTGGCTGCGAAGGCTGCGGGGACAAGGATGGGAGGGCGCCGGGCGGGGAGGGGACACCCCCTTTCCCCGGCCCCAAGGACAAGGAGCCCCACAGCCAGCGGGAAGCCGTGATCCGGCCGCAGCAAGCGGGGAAGATCGACTTCAAATCGCTGCAGCGCAAGCCCAAATTCGGCGGCAATGACAGCACCTGGGGAGAGGTCAAGGGCAGCGCCCTGTCCCCGCCGGGGAAGGGGCGAGCCCGGGAGCGCAGCCGGCGCTCAGGGAAGGGTGAGCGGGGCCACCAGCAGCTCTACCGGCTCAGCATCGCCGGCACCCGGCCCAGCCCCACCATCGGCATCGCCTACCCGCAGCAGAAGGTGACGCCCCCGAAGAAGCCGGAGGTGACCCCCGCGGGCGGCAGCTGCCGCTTCCATGTGCCCGGCATCGCCCGGCACGACGCCGAGCTCCGGCCGCAAGAAATCGCCTTCGGCCGCTGCTTCCCCGACCCCGCCGGCGGCCGGACCCCCACCAGTTATACCTCACAGCCCGGACCCTCCCTGGGCCCCAAGGGGCAGCCCCCCGCCGCCGGCATCCCCCTCAAGAGCCCCGGCACCCATGGGCAGCTACATTATTTGGAGTTCCAGGCAAACCGGGCCGAGTCCTGGCCTTCCCCGGAGAAAAGCTTCGCCGGTGCTACCTACGGGATCTCGGTGCAGAAGCCCAGCTCTTTCTGCGAGGGTGGCAAAGCCGCTGTGCACGGCCTGGGGGCTTTGCCGTGCCAGTTCCCGTGCCAGCTGCGGCACGAGGCGGGCAAGGAGCCGCTCTGCAGCGGTGCGGCCGCCCAGGAGTACCTGGAGGTGGGAATCGCCGCCACCGCCCAGCTGGCTTCCCCTGGTGCCTTCGCCTTCCACTCGTCCCCCAGAGAGTGGCCGGAGGAGCCGCTCGGGGCTGGGGGTTCCTACGAGAGCGTGGCCCCCGAGGGGCGGCTGTACGGGCTGCCCGTGCCCCCTCCGCCGCCGCCGCCCTTCCTGCACCCGCCGCCGCCGCCAGCGCTGCACCACGGCCCCTTGTCCTGCTGCAAGGGCAGGGCCGAGCATCCCGCCGACCCCACTGGTGCTCTCCCGTCGTCTGGTGCTATCGACCAAAACCCAAGCACTTTCCAAGAAAACCAAGCTGTTTTTCCGTCTAGTTTACACTCGCCTGCCGTGCCAAAGCCGGTGGGGAAGAGGCAAGGCTCGGCCAAGGATGGCGTCCCCGGCCCGCGGCTGCTGGCGCAGAGCAGCCCCCTGAGAAGGACCGTGGCACCAAACTCCCTGTCCCAAGTGCACTTTCAGAGCAAGGCCTATTGCAGCTCCCCCGCGGGCAGCGGCGGCGCGGGAGCCGTGCCTTTCGAGACGAGCGTTCCCACTACGGCACCCACCCACCCCCGGCTTGTGCAAGCTTGGGAAGGTGCCACGAAGGCGTTTTCTCCCATGGACCAGAATTCAGCACCTTATTCAAACCCTGTTGGAAACCAGTTCTCATTCGAGTGCCAGTCTGGCCCCGAGCAGAGGCAGCACAGGCAGAAAAATGCCAGGCTGCCTTGGCAGCAGATGCACCTCCCTTCTGCAGTGCCCGGTGCCAACAGGCTGGAGCTGTCGAGACACATCAGCAGCCAGAAGCTCCCCTTCCCCCTGGGCACGTCGGACTGGCAGGGCAGCGGGAAAGCCCAGAAAGGGCCCCCCATAAGCAATTCTCCGGGGTATCACAGCAAAAAGCTGTTATCGGGAGAGAGCCTGCAGAGGGGAGATCCCAGCGGGCCGGGAGCTTTTTCCTTTGAGAGTGGGAAGGAACCGGGGTCTCCTGCCTGCGACTCGAGAAGCAAAGCCCTGTTCTACGGTATTGCTCAAGCAGCTCCTCCTCCTCCTCCCTCAAGGAGCTCGGCAGGCTCAGGGCTGGTCCTGCCACCGTCAGCCTTGGCAGCTGCCTCCCCTGGCGAGTCCCCGCTGCCGTCCCCTGTCCCCAACCCCACGTGTGGCAGCACCTGCTCGTCGCTGTCCCCCATGTCCAGCAGCCCACTCAACCCCAGCTTTGAGGACAGCCAGATGTCCGGAGCGCTGACCCCCTCGCCCTTCTTCCAGCACCCCTGCCACACCAAGGATGCCAACAAAGCCTTCCACCCCTCCGAGGTTCTGAGTCCCAGCTCGCTTCATTACCACCCCCCGGACTCTGTCAAGTCCTTCAGCTTCCCCGTGGATGCTCTGAAAGATGACAGCCTCCTGAAATGTGGCCCGGGCAGCCCGTTCCACAAACCCGCCGGGGAGGCGGCCAAAGGATGCTCGGACGGGCTGGACGGGGAGCAGCCCCCGCCGCCCTACTCCTCCCATCACCTGCTGGCCTCCTCCCTGAGCAGCGCCAGCCTGGACCAGCTGGACGTGCTGCTGACCTGCAGACAATGCGACCAGAACTACAGCAACCTGTCCTCCTTCCTGCAGCACCGCCAGTTCTGCGCCTCCCACCCCGCTGCCCAGGCAGAGCCCAGGGACGCTGCCCGGGCAGCCGAGGGGCGGAAAGCTCTCCCAGCAGAGCCTCCCAAACCCCCCGGCCTGGCGCTCTCTCCAGACCCCCAGGCACATCTGTTGGCATTGAACAAGAACGACGACTTCTTGCTGGACGGGGAAGGCAAAAGCGAGGGCAAGGAGGATGCTCTGAAGGGCGGCCTCTTCCACGGCCTGGCCGCCAGCTCCCTCCCGCTCAGCGCCTCCGACCTGGACATCGACGATGCCAAGCTGGACAGCCTGATCACCGAGGCCCTCAACGGCCTGGGGTACCAGTCGGACAACCCGGAGATCGACAGCAGCTTCATCGACGTGTTCGCTGACGAGGAGCTGCCGGGCGTGAAGGCGGCTGCCGGGGCCATGGCCCACAAGGCCAAGGAGGGCCCGGCCTCGGAGAGCAAATCCAAGCAGGCAGCGGAGGAGAAGGCAGCAGGAGAGGCCAAGGCTGGCTGTTTTTGTGAAGATGGCCACCCAGGCGGGGAGCAGGTGAAGAGAGGGGCAGGAAAGCGGCACCTTCACAAAGGGAGGGTGGCACGGAGGGTGGCACCGCAGGAGCCGGATCCCATGGCAGAAGGAGCAGAGAGGACAGCCAGGCTGAGGGCAGGCAGGAAGAACAGCATCCCACCAGCCAGCACCTCCATCCAGAAACATCCCAGGAAGCTCGGCCAAGACCCTCCGATGAGGAGCGAGGTGGGGCCAGGCATCGCCAGCAAGAGCTCCAAGCCACCGCGGTTCTCCATGAAGGACATGAAGAAGCGGAAGCCCCGGAGCGGGACGTGGAGCAAGGAGCTCATCCACAAGATCGTGCAGCAGAAGAACAAGCTCCACAAGCTGCAGGTGAAGAGCAGCAAGCAGGCCCACGTGCCCCAGGCCACCGAGAGGCCACTGGCAGCCACCAAGGAGGGCAGGCTGCGGGAATACGACTACGTGTCCGACTCGGATGAGGAGGGGGCAGAGTGCAGCAAGCCCCGGGGCAGGAAGAAGCGTGGCGTGGGATTCGTGGGGAGGAGCAAGTACAGCTTCAGCAAGAAACGCCTGGGCAGAAGTAAGAGAGGCAGAGAGAAAGATCCAGCCTGGAGCTACGGCCGGAAAAGGGACAGTCAGAAAAGGGAGGCGCAGGAGGACGGGGATGTCCCGAGTCAGGAGGATGCTGAGAAAGAGGATTGTGCCGCCAGAGCCCGAAGGAGGAGCAGCCACTCATCTGCTGGCAGCAACCACAGCGTGCCCAGAGAGATGGGCACGAGCCCACCCCGCGCTGGTGGGGCTGGTGACAAGGGTGGCACCCAGAGGAGGAGGCGCTCAGGCAGCCCAGCCCGTGCGCCACGGACTCCCCTCAGCCCTCCCCAGCACAGCAGCCCAAGGACGAGCCAGGAGAGCAAAGAGGACATTGCCAGGGGGAGCAGGAGGTTTGGCTCAGCCAAACCTTTGCTGGCAGGCTCCAGGACACGGCCGAGTACTGAACCAGATGCTGCTGCCGTGGATGGTGCAAAGGAGGAGCCGTCACCGCAGCCCCAGGAAAGGCAAATGCTCGGCACGGCCATCCCAGGGCAGAGCCCTGCCAGCTTCTCCTCTAAGGAGGGGGTGGAAGAGCCCAGAGGAGCAGCAAAGCTCCCGGGTGAGGCAGAAGAGCCCACCCTGCAGGCTCAGGGCTCTCCTGAGCTCACCGTGGACCACCAGAGGGACCAGTTTGCCCCTTTCCCAAGTGAAGGGCTGAAATACCACACAGAGGAGGTGATTGTCCCACCCCACAGCGGTAACAAATCGAGTCCTGGCCGCGGGAGTGCCACCTGCTCGGAAGCAGGAATCAAATTCACCAAGGGCCAGGGGCTCTGTGAGAGTCACAAGGATTATCCCACACCTGCTCCCACCTACGGGGGAGATGCAGTGGGAATGATGCTCACTGCCAAGACGCCCGATCCGTATGTCAGCGGTGACAACGCGTTTTTTGATCCCAAAAGCCTTCCCGGTCACTACGAGGACAACTTGTTCCCAAAGCCCGCAGCGCTGGGCTCCTCCCACATGGATGACATGTACCTATGCCGGGATGCCATCAGCGCCAGCTCCTTCGAGCAGAAACGCTCCAGCATCTCCCCTTTCGCCGCGGAGATGCCGCAGGGCAAAGTGTCCTCCCCGCTCAGCTTTGACTCCTCGTCGATATTCGGCGAGCTGCCCGTCGCCGAGTTCGATCCGTACGAGAGCAAGGACGGGTACGTGGCGGCGTTCCCCTGCCCCAGCAGCGCGCCCCGCAAGCCGCTGCCCTTCGAGCAGCCGTACCCACCCTTCCTGCCGGAGAAGGAATGGTCCCTCATGGAGGACGTGGCTCCCATGCTGCCAGAAGACATGACCCAGTTCCACAGCCTCTCCGTGGAGAAGCCACCAACCAAGAAATTCCCCGGGGAAGGAGCTGTCCCCGGCAGCCAGCTCTCCCTGCCGCTGCCAGACCGGATGGCGGATTACAACGTCACCTTCATGGGCAACATTTCAGATGACGAGCTGGAGATCAAGCGCTTGGTCACGGAGCTGGAAAGCCAACTGCAAACCAGCAAGTTGGACACCGAGGTGTCGGTCACCCTCCAGAAAGCCGAGCCCTCCGTGGCTGTCCACCCGCGAGCACAGGAGGCCGAGAGGTTCCCAGTGCTCTCCCAGGGAGAGCCAGAGGCAGGCCAGGAGAAAGGGCTGTTCTTGGCAGCTGAGCTGGGCAGGTCGAGCCTCTGCGTGGAGGAGAGGCTGGCAGGGGACAAGTCAGACGTGGTGACTGCCCATGAGGACTACGAGAGGCCCAGGGAGCCCTGGCCGTGCCCGCTGGAGCTGGGCTCGCTGGAAACTGGGATGTGCGACCCAGCCCCGCTGGCCACAAACCATTTCTGCACCAAAGACAGCAGTGAGCAACTCCAGGGAGCTGCAGCCACCGAGGAAAGAGACCTCAGGAAGATGGAAAATGGGTTTTCTTCCAGCAGGCTACCTGGCTCAAGCACAACTGACCAAACAGAGGCTCCCATCTACGCCAGCCCTGTGACAAAAAACCCTCCTGTTGTCACCGACTCCGTGTTCCCCGAGACCATGGGTGCAGCAGAAGTAACCAAAGACCCCCTGCCATCCCTGCCATGCCAGTGTGATGCCAAGGGCTTCCCTGTGCTGGGGAAAGCAGACACGGATCCTGCAGAGCTGGAGGAGTTTGATGCCCATCTTCCAAACCCTAAACCCCAATTTGGGTTTCAGCAGGGTCCCACCCCAGCCTTGGATCTTGCCTTTTCACCTCATGTCAAAGAGGTCCCAGATACAGAAGAAAAAACCTTAAGCAGGACTGAGCCCCCCAAAACAGTGAAAAATGCTGTGGGTCTCCAAGGGGGTGGTGATGGGCCTGCGCTGGTGGAGGAGACAGGGGAGAGGAGTCCCAACACCTATCAAAGCCCTGGAGCCAGTGACAAAACCAGCAAGCCCAAAGTGCTGCTGTTTGAGATGCTGAGTGTGCCCAAGGAGAGCAACCACCCTTCCCAGGAGATGATGGGGGCATCCCAGGAGACCTCTGCCAACCCCCTGCAGCAGCTCCAGCTCTTCGTCGCCCGGACGGTGAAGAACAACGAGGAGGAGCTGTTGATGCCCTGCTTCCCCGGGCTGCTGGCCCCCAGCCACCCCTGTGCCACCAGCCACATCCAGACGGAGCACCAGGAGCGGAGCAGCGGTGCCTTGGAAGGAGCAGATCAGACCCAAGGGGAAGGGGATCTCCCCACTGGAAGCAGCACTGGAAATATCACTGCTCCAGGGAAAGAGGTGCTTTCTCCCAGTGGATGTGAGCAGTTGGAGGTGTTGGACGCAGAGGGCTCTTACCGTGCAAAACAATCCACGTCGGCAAAGCCGGAGCTGCAAAATAATGTAACAGAGCTGCAGCACTTAGCAAATGAACCCCCAGGGCCGAGGGACATTAATATCCCTGCAGATGGTGTTTCCCAGGAGCGTAATGACCTCTCACCACCCAACAGCACCGCGGCGACCTCGCTGCCAGGGCAGGGAAGGAAAGCTGATCAGCTCAGGGAAGAGCAGGAGGGAGATAACAACACGACGACCTTGGCATTTAGGAAACACGAGCAATCCCACCCCAGCCGTGGTTTGCTCCAGGAAGAAATGCTGGGCAGAGAAGAGGGAGAGAGGCTGGAAAGGAGTTGGGTGGGGAAGGGGGCACAGCACCCGGGTACTGCTCCAACGAGTCCTGTCGGCCCCTTTGGTCCCTCTGAGGGGGATCTCCACCAGGATCACAGCTTGGGGATGGAGATAAAAGCCAGCACGGTCAGTGCAGATGTTCCCAGAGAAGGGAATGGCAAGTTGTCCCTCCATGGCTGTGATTACACAGGTGAATCCCCAGCCAGCCTGCTCTCACCAGCCAAATATTCTGACCTCAAATGCTTGCAGAGCAGTGGGGCCGAGGGGGGAGAGGTCCCCAGTTTAGGCACTCAGCTCCCGGGTGAGAAGGAATACAGCTCCTCCCTGCCTGCCACACCAAGCTCATTCATCACAAAGAGTTGTTTTCCTGAGGCCAGCAGCCATCACATCCATCACACCGTGAGCCCAGCAGAGCAGGGGACATGGGAAGGGACACCTGCCTTCCCTCCCTCGCTGCATCACTGCGGGGCTGTGCCGATGGAAGCGGCTGAGGAGCGTCCTCATCACCTCCCTGATGGTGTTTTGGGCAGCTATGGATCACCTGGAAGAGAGGGGACAGTGAGACCCTGCGCTCTGCTGCACGGTGATGCTCTGGTGGGCTCTGCCTTGGAGATGGGTGGTCCCCAGGTACCTCCTGGGAAAGATTGTTCTCTTCCCTGCTCGCCGCCTTTCCACCAAAAGGGTGTTGGGAAGGAGGTCCCCGAAAACACCGGTGCTGTGCTGCCGGATTTTAAAGAAAACCAAGGGTGTGCCATCACAGACATGGTTAACTCCACCCCTCCAGAAACCCAGGACTATCCAACCCAGCCCAGAGCAGATCTTCTGCTCCTGGAAGGAAGGGAGGTCAACCTGAACCAGGAGAACAAGCTTGAAAACTCCTCCCGTGTCGGGAATAAGCATCAAAGTGAACCAGAGGCTTTGTGCAATGGTTTTGCTGTTCAGGACGTGTCAGCTGCCATCAGCAGAGGTCTTACAAGGATTGGAGATCTTGATCCTGCTGAGTTAAATGGCCATGAGTTTTCAGGGGCAGCAGAGGTGAGACTTGTTCTTTCCAAAACTACAGAGAGTGAAGGAAAGTGTTTGAAAGGGGAGAAATCCAAAAGCCATGGGGCTGCAGAAGCTGGGGGTTGTGTGTTAAACAGTGTGGGCCAAGGAGAGGACTACACACCCGGCGGTACTCCAGACCCATCCCAAAATGAACTCCACAAAGGAAAAAAGCCCAGTGTGCTCCCAGTGACCTGTGACATTTGCTCAGCCACTTTCCGCTCCAAGCCCGGCCTGACCAGGCACAAAGCTGTCAAGCACCAGGTGAAGAACGGGGGTTTGCCACAGCCCAGCAAGACTCCCAGGTCCCCTCTGATTCCTGCACACAGGACATCAAAAACAGCCCCAAAGGTGCCCAGGAGGAGCCTGAAGGCGTCGGTCAAAGACAAAACCTGCAGCTCACAGGCGCTGACCTCCACCGTTGAACGCATTCCCAAGAAAATACTCCCAGAGCTGGAGAAAGAGCCCAGCACGCAGATGCAGGAGGTGGTCAGCAGAGTGCTCAGCGACCTCAGTGTGATCTCCTTGGAGATGTCCCAGGAGCTGCGCCGCACACATGTCCTGCAGAGGGAGGTGAAGGCAAAGGGAGCGCGCCCGGAGATGAGGGGATCAGGAGAGGCAGCGTCTGGGAAGCTGGACTCGGGATGGCAGGTCAGGAAAGGGGAAAAGGGCAGAAGGAGCCAAAGCAAAGATCCTGATGAGGAGAACAGCAGTTCTGAGAAGCAGCTCAACAGGAAAGTGAGGCGAAGGAAAGCGAAGGTGTTTCCCAGCAGGAATGAGCCCGATGGTCCCTGTGAGCAGGAGAAGAGCACAGGTCCTGCTGCCCTCAGCTCCAGCCTGCCCGGGATCATGGGGGGCTTGCACGAGCCAGATGGTGGCATCTCCTCAGAGGAGCACAGCAGGACCAGCACAGCCCAGCACCCCCAAAAAACCAAAGAGTCCTCTTGTGCAGCCGAGCTTGAGGAAGACCTGGGCAGCAGGATGGGGTCTCTAAAGGAGATGATCAGCAAGGAGACAGCCACGGGCAGCTGTCCTGGGGAGGTGGAAGATCCAGATGCAGTGGAAGACACGCAGGCTTGCAAACAATGGATCAGTGGGTTTGTGGAGCAAGTGGCAAAGGGATGGGGCAAGGTGGGCACAGAGCAGCATGGTGGTGCTGATGGCACAGAGGACATGGGTGCTGGGACAGGGGACAGTCCTGTGGCAGGCAGTGACACCAGGACCTGGAGTGGTGCCCTGCAGGGTCCCACAGCTCCTGCCAAAGGGGCTTTGCTGCTGGAGAACCGTGATTTGGGAACCACCCAGAATGTTTCTGGGCATGGTGCTCTGCAGACCACGCCAGGGACCAGCCCTCCTCCTGCAGATCCAAAGCGGTGGGTGAAGGCAGATGTGCCACCAGGCAGGGAGCACTGCGGGGACAGCACGGCCACCTCAGACCTCCAGAGCTTTTTCGACGATGATTCCACCTTCTCCCAGCTGTTCCCCAGGGACGACCAGTTTGTCCGGAGGAAGTGTACACGGGTGTATGGGAAGCGCAGCAAGAAACCCAAACCTGCCCCCGAGGTCAGCCCGCAGCCAGCAGGGCCCATGGACCTCTTCACCATCCGCCTGACTTCTGACCTCAGCGACACCAGCTCCTTCTGTGTCACCAGGGAGGACCCCTGCGAGTACGAGACCATCTCCGTTGACGACACCCTGATGCTGAACATGTGTCATGGCAGCAAGGCAAAGAGCGGAGATGCTGCTGCAGATGGATCTAAAAGCATCGAGCTGAGGTTGGACCAGGAGGAGACCGACCAAGGGAAGGAGGACATTGACCTGGAGGACAACATGCTGACCTTCTTGTGCCAAAACAGCCACGGGGACAACGTCCCCAGCTTGAACATCTGGGGCAGTCTGGAGAAGGAGGGGGAAAGCCTCTCTGCCGAGGACATGTTTGAGCCTCTGATGGACCTTGAGGATGAGCACTCGCTCCAAGAAGTGAACTCCGAGCCCCCTGACCTGGCAGAGGAGTCCTACAATGCCAAAGATAATGGGGATTCGGACTCCCCCGAATTTCACACCATTGACATTGAGATGCTCAATGCAAAGCTGAAAATGAGAGACATGTGCTTCTTCAGCCCTTGCGAGGATCTTCCTGGCCACGGCGAGGACAATGCTGTGAGTTTGAAGCCGAAGTCGGGCAAGCACAGGAGCAAGCTGGAAGATGGGAAACTGGGGAAAAACCGCGGGGACATAACCATCAAAACCAAAGACAAGCAGTACAAATGCAAAGTCTGCTTCCAGTGGTTCCTGACGCTGGGGGAGCTGGACTTCCACAAGCTCTCCCACAACCCTTCCCCTCCTCCCACCTGCTACATGTGTGTGCAGCGCAAATTCAGCTCCCGGGAGCAGCTCCGGGACCACCTGAAGGAGAAGCACACCAGGAACAAAGCCGGGCTGTGGGCGTGCGGGATGTGCCTGAAGGAGATCTCCGACGTCTGGATGTACAACGAGCACCTGCGGGAGCACGCCACGCAGTTCGCACGCAAGGGGCAGGCGCAGAAGTCGGTGATGGGCCTGCCGGGATGCTTTGAGGACAACGCCGCCGTCACCCACTTCCTCAACACCATCATGTGTCGGAAACCCAGCAGGTCCTCCCGGCACGGCGACGCCAGCGGCCGGCATGGGGTCAGCAGAGAGAGCAAGAGCCCCAAGGAGCTGCCCCTTGAGCAGGAGAAGGTGGTGAAAGACCCCTTGGAAAGCGGCGTCAAAGTGAAGGTGCCTGCACCCAGCTCCTCCAAAGCATCCTCCAGCCCATCGCCAGAGCACATGGCAAAAAGTGAAAGCACCCCAAAATCTGTCCCCATGCACCCAGACTGCAAGGATCCTTCCCGGGACTGCCATCACTGTGGCAAACAGTTCCCCAAACCCTTCAAGCTCCAGCGGCACTTGGTGGTGCACAGCTTGCAGAAGATTTACTTGTGCCACAAGTGCCCCATGTTCTACCAGGAGACCAAAGAGCTCCGGAGCCACCTGAGCCAGGAGCATGGCGTGGTGGAGGAGCAGGAGATCAAGCACACCACCCTGTACGCCTGCGAGCTCTGCGCCGACGTCATGCACGTCATCAAGAAGTCCTTCATCTGCAGCATGTGCAACTACACCTTCTCCAAGAAGGAGCAGTACGACCGGCACATGGAGAAGCACCTGGCGGGCAGCAGCAAGACTTTCAAATTCCGAGGGGTCATGAGGCCTGGCGCTGCCTGCAGGGAGGGCAGGGAGAAGGTGAAGGAGGACAGATCTCTACGGGAGGGAGTGCCACCGAGCAAGAAGCGGAAGGTGGCTCACCATGGCAGCTCAATCCCACAGAGGTCACCAGTCCATCTAGACCCCACGAGTGACCTTCAGCTGGTAGAAGCTGGGAACTCCAGCCTGCAGGTTCCCACTGACTCCTTCCCAACAGCACCTGGTGACCTGGGAGCACCCCAGCCCTCCGTGAAAGCAGAAGTCCTGGTGGGTGATATCTCTGAGCTCCTAGCAGACATGGAGAAGTCCCCATTTGACCCCTTGCCACCGCCACCCTGCCTGTCTCCACCTCTGCCACCAGCTGCTGCAGGCAGCCCCGAGCTCTGCCACATCGCTGGCCTGTCCATCGAGGAGCTGGAGAAAGGAGCTTTTGATGGGAAGCCACTTCCTTTCTTGGACTCGCCTGAGTTTCCCATGGACCTTGCTGGCTTGGCTTGTCACCATGGCACCAACCAAAAACTGTCCCCTCCCCTCCTGACACAGAGACATGGCTGTGCCGACGCCCATAAAACAACAAGCACAGGCAACAAAGATGAATACAGGGCCTGTATCCTGGAAGATCCCGGCGCGGACGCCAACGCCGTGGCAGGGATCCCCTTTCTCCAACTTGCCAAGAAGGTCTCAGAGCTTCCTTCCCCTAAGGCAGAGCCTCCACAAGCCACAGACACCCACAAATGGGGCAGCCCCAGTGCCAGTGATGCCTCTGCCTGGGAAGGTGCAGCTAAGCCGGTGTCTCCAGAAGGTGCCCACCAGCCCCTGGCCCCAAAGGACAAGACAGCATCGCCCACACTCAGCAGAGCTTCCAAAGATTCAGTGCCACCAAAGAAGATCGTGGGTAGTGAGGCTGCTCCCAGTGTGGGCAGCCCCGAGGAGGGTCAGCCCATCTCAGGGAAGGAGAAATCCGTGCCTGAAGCTAAGGACAGTAGCGCTAACGCCAAGGACCAAGGGGGCAACCCAGGCAAATCCAGCGGCCACCAGCCCAGAGATGAGGTGGCCAGCAACACCACGAGACATGGCCACGCGGAGCCAGGCAGAGCCACCAGCAAGCTTCACCCCAAGAGAAAGAAAGAACACAAGTCCTTGAGCCACCGCAGCAGCTCCGGCTCGCGGGAGAACATGGAAGGAGACGGGAAGAAGAAGAAAACCCGGCCACCGTGCCCAACCAGGAGCGAAAGCACCGCTGAGCTCAAACGTGGCAGTTGGAGCAACGCCGAGGCGCCCACCCTGTCCCCCAGCAGGAGGGACACGCACTGCACCAAGCTGGGACCCAAGCCCAGAACGGGCCCCCAGCTGAAGAAGATGGTCCTGGACTCTTACAACCAGAAGAAAGGGGAGCTCCGCCACGCCAACGGGGACGTGAAGCGCAGGAAGGCCATTCTGGGCAAGAGCCTCCACCAAGTGTTGGCCAAGGGGCCGGCACCGTCCCCGCGTGGCTCCTGGCACGGCCCCCGCGCCGCCCGTGGGGCCAAGGCGGCCGGCCCGGCCAGCTACCGCAGCGCCGAGTCCCAGAACAACCTGCTCAGCCAACTCTTTGGGCAAAAATTAACCAGCTTTAAAATTCCTTTAAGAAGAGATGCTTCAGAATAATTTATGGAAGTGACTTATGGTGATCCTCAGCTGCTTTCATGGGGTTTGCAAGGGAAAAATTATCAAAGCATTAAATTCGTTTGTGTAGCATGATTTCTCTGTCTAGCTTAAATGAACTTGCACTGCAGCCTCTGTGAAATAGTTTGCTTTGTGTCTACTAATCTACTTTAATTCACCTGATTTATCATGCAAATGCTAGAACTTTGATGTTGCTGATGATTTTCATGAACTGAAATTGTAATCGCTTTGGGCAGACTGAATCGTCGAGAGCAATTGCTTTATTGCAGAAGTGCTGAGGTTATAAGGATACTTGCAAATCTCAGACCCTTTTGAGTCTGTGTCTGTGTTATCTTTGTACAAAGTACTTGAAGAGATGAACTTCATTCCGTAGACGTCTTATTCATAAGGTGCAGTACACTGTAGAAAGCAAATTTTTTTTTTTTTTTGGAAGATTTTGCACAAATAATCCTGTACAATTCATTTAATTGGGAGCTGGCCTAAGCGATGATACAATTAAAAAATTAAATTAAGACCCAAGTGTCCTATATTTTGACAGCCATCCCTAAGAATTTTGTTTCTACATCGTCAAGAGAAGAACGACCCAGCTCTGGGGTTCTGGGGCTGTCGGAGCCTCCAGAGGATGCTGCCACTCTTTGACCACTGTAGACGATGGGACTGGAGGAGAAACGTCCCCACAAGCAAACTGCACCTTGACACTTGTGACAAACTCTGATTTTTTAGGGTTTTTTGGGGTTTGGGGTTTTTTTGTGTGTGAGTGTGCGCATGTGTGGTTTTTTCTTTTTGTTTGTGGGTTTGGTTTTTTTTGTGCAACGAGAAAACTGTGCCAATTTACCGCAGCGAAAACCGGTACTGTCCGAGTGCCCTCAACGGTATCACTTCTAAACTCTCTTACTGTATTGACGTAGTGGCTCTATAGGTATCCGCTTGTACTATGCAGTTACTGGTGCTATTCTTCATTTGTAATGTGAATACAGACTTCCTTGATTGAAAAAAAAAGGGGAATTGGTAGGGAGAAGCGATTATCTGTCCAAAAAACGGAGCAGGAAAAGAGAATTTTTAAAAAAATAGCCAACTCGAGGGGAAAAACATTCAGCTTTAGGGAAAAAAATTAACTTTAGGGGGGAAATACAACTTAGGGAAAAAATGCAACTTTAGGAAAAATACAACTTTAGGGGAAAAAACACAACTTTAGGGAAAAAGCTCCTCTGTGCTGGTACTCCATAGTGTGGAAAAAGTTACGTCACATTAAACGAGCACGTTCTACAACCGAACTTTTGGGTCCAGAAAGAAATCTCAGGTGCAAATGAGGACATGGAAAGATTTTATTGAAATACTCCCAAGTCAAGGAGGTGAAGTAATGCACTGATGTGATATGAACAGTCAGAGTACTTTGCGTCTGTCCTGCAATGATTTTTTTGTTTTGTTTTAGAGTTAAAAGGAAAAAAAAAAAAAAGAGGCTTTATTCTGTTAATATGTATCTTTACAATTCTTTGTATTGTATAAAAAACTATTGTAGGTAATTTACCTTGGGTGCAATGTGTTCTGTCAAAAGTTTTTATTTTGATATTTTGTCCAGAGAAGCAGAGAGAGAGCAGGAAACGCCGTTTTATGATGTTGTCCGTGTGCTTTTAAAGTGCCTCTTTAATATTGTTAAATAAAGTATGAGATAAAAATATGGGGTGGTACTGTAAAGTCATCCATGATTAATCTTTTCAAATATATTCCAATATTTTCACAGAAATTCCCTGTCTGCGTGATGTTTGTGGGATGTTTGAGGTGTCCTCTGTAAGGGGGCTGAGGAGGACCTTGGTGCCACTGCTGTCACCTCAAGGTGTTGGAGCTTCTCAATAGTGAAGATGCTCCTGCAGCTCCTCTTCCTCACAGATCTCATCCAAGTGCTGCTCATGGCAGGAGAGTTTTGTCCCTGAGGGGAAAAACCCAACGTGATGGTGGTGGTGGCCTGGTTTGGTGGTCATCATCTGGTGGTGGTGATGGCAGAGTTGGCGATTGTCACAGCCCAGTTTGGTCATCACCAACTGGCAGTGGCCACAACCTGATCTGATCATCATCAGATGGTGATGGTGCTGGTCCAGTTTGGTCGTCATCACTTTGTGATGGTGATGGGGTCACCTACTTTGGTCATCACCAGGTGTTGATGGCCCAGTTTGGTCAGCAGTTTGTGGTGAAGGTGGTAACGGTGATGGTGATGGAGATGATGATGGTGTTGGTGATGATAATGGCCCAGTTTAACCACTCCCCATTTTTGATGGTGATGGTGACGGCCCAATTTGCTCATCCCAAATTTATGATGGTGATGGTGATGATGATGACAGTGTTGGCCATGATGATAATGATGATGATGATGATGGTGATGATGATGAGGGCCCATTTTGCTCATCCCCATTTGATGGTGATGATGACAGTGTTGGTGATGGCAATGATGATGATGATGATGATGGGGGTGATGATGAGGGCCCATTTTGCTCATCCCCGTTTGATGGTGATGATGACAGTGCTGGTGATGGTGATGGCAATTGATGATGGTGATGGTGATGGTGATGGTGATGGTGATGGTGATGGTGATGGCGATGGTGATGGTGATGGTGATGAAGATGATGCAGGTGAGGGGTCATTTTGCTCATCCCCATTTGATGATGATGGTGTTGGTGATGGCAATGCCGCTGGTGGCAGTGATGGCAATTGATAATGATGATGATGGTGATGGTGATGGTGATTGATGATGATGATGGTGGTGGTGATTGATGATGATGCTGATTGTAATTGATGATGATGATGATGATGATGGTGATGGTGATTGATGATGATGATGAGGATGATGATGATGATGCTGCTGCTGCTGGTGATGGTGATGGCAATTGATGATGATGATGGTGATGGTGATGGTGATTGATGATGATGGTGATTGATGATGATGATGATGGTGCTGCTGCTGCTGGTGATGATGGTGATTGATGATGATGATGATGATGATGCTGGTGATGGTGATGGCGATTGATGATGGTGCTGATGATGATGATGCTGATGATGATGATGATGGTGATGATGCTGGTGATGGTGATGGCAATTGATGATGGTGCTGATGATGATGATGCTGATGCTGGTGATGGTGATGGCGATTGATGATGGTGCTGCTAATGATGATGATGCTGATGCTGGTGATGGTGATGGCAATTGATGATGGTGCTGATGATGATGATGATGCTGATGGCAATTGATGATGGTGCTGATGATGATGATGATGATGCTGGTGATGATGATGGCAATTGATGATGATGATGATGATGATGATGATGATGATGCTGATGATGGTGATGGCGATTGATGATGATGATGCTGATGCTGGTGATGGTGATGGCAATTGATGATGGTGCTGGTGATAGATGATGATGATGATGATGATGGTGCTGCTGCTGGTGATGATGGTGATTGATGATGCTGATGATGCTGGTGATGGTGATGGCGATTGATGACGATGCTGATGAAGGCCCGGTTCTCTCGTGCCCGCTTTGTCCTCGAGCTGACCTCTGCGGCCCCGCTGGGCCGGGTGGGAGCACACAAAGGCGGTGTATTCCATGCTTTAATTACTGCCGCAATCACAACACGGAGCCGCTGTCAGTGAGAGATAGCTCGGCACCGCCGGCTGGGATCCTCGCCACTCGGGGCTTGTAACTAAAACTGCAGGATTAATTTGATTAATTGATAGAATTATTTTCCAAACTACTCTTTTGTTTATGGAGGCTTAAAATGCTCGCCGCCTGCACCCTCCTGGTGTGTTGCAGAGTGGAGATAAAGTGGCTGAAAATAATTAGTATGGCTTAATTTAGGGAAAAAAATAACCTCAAAAGAATTTTGCAGAAAATTTAAGGCGGCACATTTTACTTTGTTTTGGCAGGAAATATTATGGAGCTGGAAATGGGACTTTTATGTTTTCCCTGTGCTATATTTCACCAGGGCAGCAAACCTGCAGGGCGGAGGAGGAGAATTTCATGCCTGGTTATTGCCAGAGATATCCCACACCTCCAGATTCATCACCTGGGCACCTGGAAATGAGTCTCCTGGGAGCCAGGGGAATGCTGCAGGGATGGGACCCGTCCCCAGGGACCCCTTCCCAAAGCTGCACCCATTTCATGGAAGCCCAAGACATGAGTGACAGCTGCCTCAGGCTCTGCTCCCTCTGGAATGCAACTCCCCAGGGGGATGTTTGCATCATCCCCACATCTTTGAGGGCTGAATTATTTAATTAATCCTTTCCCTTCTAAATGTGAGTAGTTTTTTTCCCCACCCTGCTCTCACCCACATCCCAGTGTCTCAGTCCCCCCCACCCATCATCTCCCCTGAGCTCCCTAAAGCCCCCGGGTTTGCTGAGTCCTGCATGATCCGGTGGCGTTTGTCACTTGGGAGATAGCAGGGCCCTGTCACCCTAATTCCAGTGAGGACACAAAGCCGGGCAGCTTCTCCTGGCTGGGGATTAACTCCCTGCTCAGCAGGGGCCAGCAGCACAGGGAGGCTCCTGTGCACATCTGGGGGTCCCAGCCCTGCACCCCCCGGGACATGGGGCCGGTCTGCAGCCACATCCTCAGGGCTGGGACAGCTCCAGGCGCCAGGGGTGACAGGGTGGGTCTGATGGGGGGTGTCTGCAATTGATGGAGCCCCTCGGGGGGGTGGGGGGGATTTCTTGGCTTCTTGCCACCACCCAAAATTTTCCTCAAGCTGCTTGCTCTTCAAGCCCCGCCCCAAATCCAGCCAGCCTTTCTTTTCTCAGCCTCACATCCAAGTTTCTGAGCCAGAGGTGCTTTAAGCCTCTCCATAAAGCCTGGAGGATAACGGGATCCACCATGGTTGTCACGCTGCAAGCTGAAGATTTAGAAATTTCTTTTTCTTGCTTTTGACTCAAATCTGGCCGTTCCTTGCACAGCAAGAATTTAAACCCAGCTCCCACCTTCCTTCCCAGGGAGTGTGACAGGGACCACACGTAGCAGCGGGATCCTGCAGCCCTGGTGCTGAATCCACGCAGGAAAACCTGGAGCCCTGGGGGTGTGAACAGGAGCACAGGAGCCATGCAGCCCCCAGGGATGCCATCCTGCCAGCAGCGATGCTTCTGAAGCCCAGGAATTGCTTGGATTTCTCCTTTTAGGAGTTAGAACATCATTCCTACAGAAGATCAATAAGAGAGAAAGGGGAAATAAGCCCTGAGACATGCCAGCCTTGGATTTGGGATGTGGGGGCTGCTCATCCACACATTCCCACCTGGTTTCAGGAGCATCCCAGCATCATTTGTGCCTGGGGAGGTTTAGGTTGGATATTGGGAAGGTTGGTCCAGCCGTGGCTCAGCTGCTCAGGGCAGTGGTGGAGCCCCCATCCCTGCAGGGATTTAAAAACCACATGGATGTGGCACTTGGGGACATGGTTCAGTGGTGGCCTTGGCAGTGCTGGGGCCCGATGATCTTGGAGGCTTTTCAAACATAAATAATTCCACGGCTGGGATTTGGTTTAATCCCAAACCCTTCCACGCTGCCACAGCAGCTCCCGGGAGCCCGGAATTCCACAGCAGCATCTCTGCACAGGACGTGCCCAAGTCAGGGAGGAACATGCCCAAACTGTGCCCAAACCGTGCCCAAACCGTGCCCAAACCATGCCCAAACCATGCCCAAACCGTGCCCAAACCGTGCCCAAACCGTGCCCATGTTTTGCTCCTGCTACGTCCAAGCCACGTCCCACCCTCGGAGGACCCCGGGCTGTTGGCAGCCACCCGAGGCTGAGCCACAGGCAGGTGACAAGTGGCACCCAGGGCCAGGTTCTCCTGCCAGCAGGTGGCAGGGCCCTTCTGCAGGTGGGGCACCGCGATGCCAGTCCTCCCTCTTGGGACAAAAAAACCCTAAAATAGGATATTTTGAACTGGAGAAAAGCTTGTTTTGGAGCCTGGGCAAACCGTGCCAGCGGCCAGTGCCATCAGCTGGCACTGGGGGCTCAGCACAGCCCCCCAAAATGCCCTCCCAGCCATCCCTGAGCCCTGAAATCCAGCAGAGGCAGCGCCTCGGCTCTTCCCATTGACATTCCTGCGCCGCCGCCTCCTCTCTAATAATATCAGGCCAGATTAATTGGCACTAATACAAATGTACACAGCTCCATAAAAAGATGTCACCACGCTCACAATGGGGGGAACGGCTGCTCCCGCATTATCTCTGCTCTGCAGGCGTGTAATTCACTCCTCGGGAAAACACGCTATTTATTCGGCTCCCCTGGAACAATCTCTCTGCAAACACCCACCACGGCCCCGGGAAGGGAGCAGGGAGACACCCAGCCCTGCCGCTGGCACCGCCACCGTGACACTTTTCCCCGTGCAGGGCCACCCATGGGTGCCCCCAGGGGATGGGGCAGCGGGATGTGGGATTTGGGGATCCAGCCCTTGGGTGGTGGTTGAGCCCGAGGATTGTCAGCCTTGGGGGGGTCTAAGTGGCTCAGGGATAGTGCCAAAAAGGGAATTAAAGGGATGTTGGCAAGGAATGTGCCAGGGGAAGGGCTGCAACCTGTTTCCTTCGCTGCCCAGGGCACAGCAGTAGCACCCACCGGCTCCAGCGAGGCTTTGGGGGCATTTTTTTTGGTGTGGCAATGTCCCCTCGCCCACTCGAGATGCTGCCGCTGCTTCTCCCAGCACAAAGAGCCAGGGGCAGCTTCTTCCAGACCATCCCCCTACTTGCTGCCTGCCAAGGAGAGGAAATT